GATTTTGAGGGCCCTCTGCCAGCCTCTGAGTGCCCTTGCCGGCCTATGAGGCGTCGGTTCTTAGAGTCTAATTAGCTAAATATCTTCAAAAATGGCCAAGTTATACGCATTATTGCAAAACATTAACAATTATTAATTTTTCAAATCAATTTTTCAGCACGAATTTGACATCGTGCGCCAATATAAATAGCACCGTCGTGTTCCTGAGCTCAAACTTCATCCAATAGACACCTTTTTTGTCGAAAAATTTTAACTTCAAAATTTGACCTTTTTTGACCTGAAGTGACTTGACCTATGCTAAATTCGACTCAAAATGACCTCGAATGACACAGACGACATCAAATTCGAAATCTATGGCCTAAATGGACCATAAAACATGTGTCACGTGACCGACGCATGAAATAATATTTCCGTGACCTGTGATGACCTGACCTTGACCTGAAAATCAAAGTACAAGTTTGGTACCCTCAGAGCATCTAGAGCATCTGTTCTCGAGTGTGTGAACCAAAAATGAGCCTGATCTGACTTGTAAGACGGCGGCCAGAGCCCAAAACGTGAACAAGCCAAAATGCTAATAATTTTTACATTGACCTGACCTGTGACGTCATCGGTGACCTCGAGGTCAATGAAATTAGGTTTCGCTCGATAGTTTTTCCGGGGCTATCAGACGCCGTTTGAATTTTGACGATCGGCCCAGTAGTTTCGGAGTTAGGAGGGGGCTATGAATAGCCCCCCCCCCCCCCCAGTAGGGCGTGTTATACGCAGACCCCAGTGGGGCGCGGGTTAACCCTCGCCCGTAAACGGCGATCTGCCACCTTCGCCCATGCAGGGGGGGGGTTGGTGCGACCCCCCCCTTGGCGTTTGAAAACGGAGCGTCGTAGAGCTTAGCGGAAAAAACCAACGGATTGCTCTCGCCGAGATCTCGCGATTGGTGGTATATTTTTTGGTCCTAGGTCAACATTTGACCTACTTTTGACCGGTCAAAGGTCAAATTTTCGGAAAAATAGACTTTTTTTAACTTTCGGCGGCGATTGCGGCAAAACGGTGGGAGATATCGACTTGAAACCTTCACTATCGTGTTCCTTGATCAATTCTCTATCCTTTGGTATGTATTTCGTTTCCCTAGCTCTAAAAATGGCGCGTTGGGAGCGCCGGAAGTCGGCAAGGTCACAGTCGGCGGCAGAAATTCGAAAAATCAAAATTTAAATTTTTGAAATCTGATTGTATTTTTGGATTTGGGAGGTCCATTTGCTCCCTATAGAAGCTAATATTGCTGCATATTCCCATTGAGGTGACAAGAATTAGCAAAATAGTGGTTCGTGCGCTTTTCAAAAATAGTACCGGACGCTGTTCCTCTTGTGACGTCATAGCTCCGTGACCTGACCTGACCCGGTCAAGTTTCTTATACCATATGATAGCCAATACTTGCCCCAACATGCATGGGAAGTTTCATCACGATCCATCAACCGATCTCCGTGCCTCCGGCAGGAAACCTCGGGTGTTGGCACTCAGTTTGTGAAAATCCGGCCGGAGGCTGTTCCCTTTGTGACGTCATAACTCCGTGACCTGACATGACCCGGTCAAATTTTTTTTATCAAAAGATGCGCAAGGTTTGCCCCATAAGGTACCCAAAATTTGGCGGCGCTACGCGCCGCCGTTTTTGCACTATTTCCGAAAAACCTCAGGGGGGGGGGGTTGCACCAACCCCCCCCCCTACATGGGCGAGGGTTAACCCGCGACCGCCTGGGGGGGTCGGATCCGACCCCCCCCCCTCCGTTTTTCTTGAATAACTCATGAACCACTTTCGCTATCTACTTGAAACTTGGCATACCTTCTCCCCTATCAATTTGACGTCTCCTGTGCAATTTTTAAGAAAAAATTTCCAAAATTTTTTAAGATATATCGATTTTAGTGATGTAACTACATGGCGTTTTTAGTCAAAAAGTGGTAAATGTTTAAAAAATCGCCAAAAATCAGGGTTTTAAGCAAATTGCAAATTAAGGACATGAAAAGACGCAGCTCAACGAGTTCTTTAAAATGGCTATCTCGGATTTTCCATAAAATGCGTTTTTCACCCCTAAAAATTCAAAAAACTATATTTTTTGGAAAACAGCTAATAAAATCCAAAATTTTGGGAATTTCCAAAAAACAGGAATATATGTTGTAGAGCTCTTTTAGAACATTAGATGCCCCAAATTTCAACTTTCTATCTTGATTTTTGACCCCCAAATTGTAAACAATAGCCCCAACATGCATAGGGCATGGTGACGTCATAAGCATTTTCGTGAATTAGAGGCACTTCTGAACATCGCATGTGAAAACAAATGGCACCACTAGATTCCTGGGACAAAGCTCGTCTAGAAAAGTGCATTTTTATGTCAAAAATAAAAAGTTGAAAAATTGACCTTTTTTCTCAGCCCTCGTATAGTATAAACGATTTTTTATGCAGTTTCAATGCACACTTATCACCAGCACAGTGACTTGGGGTCACATATAACCATTACCATAGGATTCGGCGTGAAAAATAAGCCATAAAACATGTGTCGCACGCCCATGTAACAGAAATTGAAAACCGTGACCTTTCGTGACCTGACCTGACCTTGACCCGTACTTAGTATGACCCCTATACGCACATGGTACCTTCACTAGGCCTTTGAGGTCATTTTTGGTGAGTTTCGAGCAGCAGCTATCGATTCCGCTGTCCGTAAGCCTAATCATGCAAAACCCCTGAATTTGACCTTTGACCTGACCTTGACCCGAAAGTTGACCTCAATCTTAAAATCTTAAGAGTGCGTTGGGAAGGTCTTGTAGAGACCTTTCGAACGCCGCCTCGCGGGGCTCGATACGACCATTGGTTCTCGAGATAACAGGGGGGGTCGGATCCGACCCCCCCCCCCCAGGCTGTCGTGCTCGTGGGTACGGAAATAGCCCAGGCGATGCCGGGTTAAGGGCTCATATGATGCCAACAAGGGGCCTTCACAGGCCGGCAAGGGATCCTCAGAGACCGGCAGTATCAGGAGCCCTGTGGAATCCTGGAGATCCGCATGGCACTCTCAGACACCTTAGAGTCACTGGTGTATGACCCTCAGACCCGCCGGTATAGGACATACAGAGTTACTGGTGGCTGGCTGTCAGAGGCGCCGGTGTGGGGGCCGGGGGCCCCACAGGTGCCGGTGTGGGACCCTCAAAGTCGTCGATGTGGGATCTCAAGAGACACTGGTGTGGGGGACTCAGAGGCGGCGATGTAGGGCCCTCAGAGGTGTCTGTGTGGGACCCTCACAGTTGCCGGTGATGACTTTCACAGGCGCCATTGTGAGGTCCTCATAGACACAGGTATGGGGCCATTACAAGCGTGTGTGTGGCCATTAGAGTTGCCGGTGCAAACACTGCATAAGGCCAGCGCCGCTGGGAGCCCTCAGTCACTGGTGTGGGGCCCTCAGAACCGCGATGTAGGGCCTTCAGGAGCATTGGTGTTTGGCCATCAGAGGCGCCGATGTGAGGCCCTCACAGGCGCCATTATGGGCCCTCAGAGACGCTGGTGTGGAGCCGTCCCATGCGGGTAATTGACTCTAAGAACCGACGCCTCATAGGCCGGCAAGGGCACTCAGAGGCTGGCAAAGGGCCCTCAAAATCCGTAGTCGGGTCCTTATAAAGAGACAAGTGTGACTGCTTAGGAGTAGTGACTTGAGTAGTTCTGTGGGTCTTATCTAAGTCGAAATATAACACGCATAAATCCTGAGCGGCCGATTGTTGGCACCACAGGGCCTCTCGGGCCCGAGGGGCACCATGCATCTAATGGCAAGTGCCCCTTGTGCTCCCCGGCTACACCACTGGTTGCGACCAAGGCCTTAACCCTTGTCGGACTCGGCACAGGCCATTTTGAATCCCCGACGGCACAAGTGGGGGTTGGTAGTTGGTACGACCCTCCTCGCGTTTGGCCCCTCATGGAGCTAGAGCTTCGCGGAAAAACGAGCGTGCTGCCCGTCACGAGAGAAAGCCAATGATATCCAATTTTAAGGTCCTAGGTCATCGGTTGACCTTCCAGGTCAGGTCAATGACCAAAAAATCGGGAATATCGGGATCTGTTAGAAAGTCGGTAAAGTGTGGCTGCTAAGGCGTTTTCCGGGGTGCTGATCACGAATATCGTGTTAGTTTTGATCACAGATGATGTCGCGTTTAGACCAGGTCGGGTCAGGCCAGGTCAGGTCAACCGGTAGGGGTCGTGACGGACGGGTATTCGACGTAGTACCTGTCGGCTGTCATCCGCCTCTGACAACTTCGTAACATGTTACGAAGGCACCAAAACTACTTCGCTTAGTACTAAGTACTAAACTACTAAAACTACTTAGTAGTTACGTCTGGAGATCCTAACTAGATCCACTGTACTTACAAGCTACGCATTGCCTTCGAGTGTATGCTATTGTCAAATACACAAATACCTACAATATACTGCACACTGCACATTGTATACGACCTCTGGGTTCTGACCCCTCCCTGCCCCCTGACCGCATGCTGTGTCGCCGACCCAGGTGGTAGAAACCGGTTTTAGCCTCTACACAAGCTGCCACTCTAACTCTCCCCTCTCTACGCCACCACGTGATGAAGTACATACCTACTAACGCGCTCGTGCGTAGCTGGGCGGAGCAAAGGGTCGCCGATACAGGTGCGGAGCTGCAGTTACCCTTCCGACCGTTGAAACCCGCGAGACCTGTACATGTGTGACGTGTGCAACTGAGCGCCGGCCGAACCGGAGCGGGCAGGAAGCCCTCGGCAGCCCCCGGCAGAAACGTCTGGACTTCCGACCCGCTCAGCCACCTACAGACTGTACTCCAGCTCATCACCGCGTTTTGCTCGCGCTTGGATGATATACGGTGAAGTGGTGCATTGTGTACTGTACAACGCGTACACGCGTGTAGTGCGGACTATAGGCACTACAAGCGTTCAGTTACACTAGCAAGAAATCACACACCCTGACCCATTGCCTGATTTTTTTTGCCCAGGTTTCCACCGGGGGTGTATTTCAAAAATCACACCACATGCACACCATACCCATTGCCTGATGTTTATAGTTTGTCCTTTCAAGAATATGAAACAAATTAGTAAGACCACCACTCCAGTTTACATTGGAACAAATTACCCAACCAATTAAGCACCTAACACACAACCTTATCTAGGCTGCAATGCCAGCGGTACTCAGCGTGCGTGGCCTTCAGACCATGCAAAGATTCGATTCGAACGCTCTACATAACATTCACAACTTGGAGCTAAGCACAGAACTACTAGTCTTAACTAATGCAGTTAAATGCGTTTTTATAGAAAATGACCAGTTGGATGCGAACACACACACAGTACACACACACACACACACCTACTTAACTACGAACTATCATACCAATGCGGTGTTGGTGCATTTGAGAGGGATGTCACCCTTTCCAACGTCAAAGGGGCTGGCGCACTTCTAGCAATGACTATGGCTCATAAATATAGATTATACACTGTAAAAAAGATTCACTAAGTTCCATGTTATCCTGGCCAAACTCAATAACCCGAGGCGTGTTGAATCGACATTGACACGCGGCTCGTGAGATACCGATTCAACACGGCCTAAGCTAAAAGCTAGATTTTTCCAGGATAACACGAAAGTTTGCAAATATTTGTTACAGTGTACGCTCAATTCGATATTTGATCCATTTTGTCAGTTTTCAGCGTACTCATTTACGTCATCAGCGCGCCAGCTTCCCTTTAGGCCGGAAAAAGGTCCCTCGCAGTTGGCACCACACGAGGCCGGCCAGCCGCGCCGAGTCTCGGGCTCGCACGTGCCACCTCGTGTGTGCTCGGCGCGGCCTTTCGCCCCATCCCGTCCGCTGCAGTGGTTAGGCACGATCTGGCGATGGACCGACGGACCAACACACAAACACATGGACACTGCGAGAGAGGAGGACGGAGGTGGGATTGCCACCTCCGTCCTCCCGTCCAACAGCAGACATGGGCGTGTGTGTCAGAGCGTCTATCCATCGCTAGATGGCACCCAACTAATGCGGCGGACGGGATGGGGCGAAAGGTCGCGCTAGGCACCGAGTGTCACATCCCGACCCCCCACTGAGGGCCCAGATGTGGCTCCACGGTCCCCTGGAACAGGACGGTACGTGTGGATGTGCTGCATGACCTGCGTCACGGTCAACGAGCCGTGAAGGCCAGCAGGACGCCAACGAGCCGTAACGGCCAGCAGGACGTCAACGAACTGTGACGGCCAGCAGGACGTCAACGAACTGTGACGGCCAGCAGGACGTCAACGAACTGTGACGGCCAGCAGGACGTCAACGAGCCGTCACGGCCAATGCAGGACGTCAGCAAGCTGTGACGGCCTGCATGTTGGCCGTCCCAGCTCGTTGACGTCCTGCTGGGTTACACAGCTCGCTGAACGTAACGCAGGTCATGCAGCACAAGCACCACGCACCGTTCCGTAACAGCGGGACATCAAAGGCTAGGAGTCACTCTACCGAGAGGCGTTCGGCCGCTCGTCCCATGGAACCCACGGGTCGGCGTCCACCTGGTCCAACCACCGCACGAGCTCGTCGAGGTAGTCGAGCGTACCCCGAAGAACGTGCGCCATGTACAGGTGCGAATCGTATGACTTCGACTTCTTACGTAGCTCTCCTGTGCGGATAATGTAGGCTTCTTTTAGATACCCTCTTGCCTTCTTGATGGCTTGCTCAGACTTCTTCTTTAGGAACGGCACCATGTCGTCCAGAGTTTTGACAATGGGCCCGGCCTGGTAACCTCCGTCAGTAATCTTGCCGAAGAGAGCAGGGTAGCTGCAGTTCGAACAGTCCTTGACAAGAGTATGCGGATTAGTTATAATAGGTCTGCCGTTCTCTCGCTTCGCACGCAGACTCTTCGTAGAGAAATGAAGAGGCAATCCTTTCTCCAGAGTGACCCAGAAGAGCTGCTCCACTTCTCCTGATGTGGGTGGGAGAAAAACAGCGTCACTTGTCTCGCTGCTTTCGATCTCTTCTATCTTTATAGAGAGCAGCTGTTGGGACAAGCCAGCAACAGCTCTGTCCTGCCTTTCAGGGCACGCCGCAGACGATTTATGTTGTCTCTTTGCCTTTTTGTTGAGATATTGAGTCTTCTCTGCATCTTCTGCGGCATTGATCTCTGCAGATCGTTTGCAGGCGCTCCGTTTTCCAAGATTTGACTTGGTGAGAAGTCCACGGCTCGTTTCCACAGGCATCGTTGTTGTCGCTCGATTTTTAGGGATCTCAGGTGGCTCTTCCTCTAGAAGTGTCGCCCAGTCCCCCATGTCCTGCAGTACCACCAATGGTTCGTCTTCGATTTCCACATCCATTTTAGACCCATCATCTGTTGAGAATTTAGAACCCTCCTGATAATTCTGCACCTCTGTCGGTGTCTCCTGAAGCATCTTCTGCGAACGAGCATTGCTCACATCTCCACCTTTCGTTTGTCCCGCCGAACGACCCTCTGAGGATACAGCGCCATGGTTTGCTTCACCTGGAGGAAGGTCGGCGGGACCAGAAGTTGAGGAGATACTCTCCGACTGGGAGAGGGATGTCTCTTTCTGAGATGTGGCTCGCTTTCGCTTCTTTTTCGTTTTGTTCTTGCATCCTTTCGCGGCTCCTGTTTTCTGTGCCGAGGGCACTGTCTGTTGTTTTGTCTCACCGGAGTCCCATGCGTGAACGTGAGGTGGATTTTCTAGTCCCCTGGACTCGGGTGTTTCCTGCAGGCCAGACTGCAGGACAGATGTTTTGTCCGGCGGCTGCGGGGCTGGTTTGTTTGGGGCGTCCGATCCCACAGGTGACGCGTTCTCATGCGTCACCTTCCCGGCGTCGCTTGGTCTTGGTTGCTTGCCACCAGTCATCCTCGCAACGATGGCGACGCTGGTCTACTACGATGGCGGTAGATGACTCTCTCTTCAAAACTGAAATGGAGGCAAAAACATCCATCAATACCGAGCTAAAAACAATGAAATGCTTGTAAAGCAGCTTGCAATATCCTAAAAAATGAAGAGAAGTACCTATGCAGTATGCTGTTGGTATGTACTTATGTTTTATGCGACGTTCGTTTATGCTGTGATTTATCACCTTCAATTAGGTAGGTATGAAGCTACCCAATTTTATAATCTGCGAAAACCGAACCACTTCTACACAGTAGCGGATGAAGACTCGATGATAATTTAGCCCTGTTTATGGTGTACGATTGGCTTTGTGGAGGAGGGATAATTGGTCTGAGGGACGGATCCGGCCCGAATTTCACAATAGGTATAGCCATCTCGACAGCTATTGGCTGATTTTGACTTAAACCGCGCCCCACTGGGGGGGGGGGGCTATTTATAGCCCCCCTCCCGTTTTTCTGCAATAACTTCCAAACCGTTTGACGTATCGACGCCAAACTTTCAGTACCTTAGGCTGCATCAATTTGACACCTTGTGTCAAAATTTGAACTTCGTAACTACCATAGGTCGGCCGGAAATGACGTCAGAGTGACGTCATGTTCGGCCGATTTCGACGCAAAACATTGAACCACGGCAATCGCTCCCAACAGCTCAGTTTTTAAGGTAGATCCAATTTCTTTGCATGAGAGGACTCAGAATAGATTGCGCTATCAAACTGCTATCTCGGATTTTCGAAATTTGGAAAATTTGGAAAATTAAATAAAATAAAATCCAAAATTTATATTTTTACATTTTCTTCAAAAAGTTTTTGACTTTTCGAAAAGACCGGAATATATGTGATAGAACGCATTATTATGACTAACTCTAGCAAGTTTTAGCTAAATATCTTCAAAAATGGCCAAGTTTTACGCATTATTGCAAAAAATTCACAATTATTAATTTTTCATATCAATTTTTCAGCACGTATTTGACATCGTACGCCAATATAAATAGCACCATCGTGTTCCTGAGCTCAAGGTGCATCCAATAGACACCTTTTTTGTTGAAAAATTTCAACTTCAAAATTTGACCTTTTTTGACCTGAAAGTGACCTGACCTAAGCTAAATTCGACTCAAAATGACCTCGAATGACACAGACGACATCAAATTCGAAATCTCTGACCTAAATGGACCATAAAACATGTGTCACGTGACCGACGCATGATATAATATTTTCGTGACCTGTGATGACCTGACCTTGACCTGAAAATCAAAGTACAAGTTTGGTACCCTCAGGGTAACTAGAGCATCTGTTCCCGAGTGTGTGATCCAAAAATGAGCCTGATCTGACTTGTAAGACGGCGGCCAAAGCCCAAAACTTGAACAAGCCAAAATGCTAATAATTTTTACTTTGACCTGACCTGTGACGTCATCGGTGACCTCGAGGTCAATGAAATTAGGCTTCGTTCGACAGTTTTTCCGGGGCTATCAGACGCCGTTTGAATTTTGACGATCGGCGCAGTAGTTTCGGAGTTAGGAGGGGGGGGGGGCTATGAATAGCCCCCCCCCCCAGTAGGGCGTGTTATACGCAGACCCCAGTGGGGCGCGGGTTAACAAACTTAATGCCACTACTCTAAACGTCACCTGCATGTGTATGTATATTGACTATTCAATATTGAAGTTTAAAATGATAATTTGGTGTTCAGATGACTACAAATTCCTAAAAAAAGAATCGGCAGTATTCACGGAAATTTTCTTAACAGGCGAACCTTGACCTTTGATGACCTCTGTTACCCTGACCTTTGACCTGACCCATAGACCTAGTCTACATACCAGTATGTAGAGGTCTATGCCTGACCTAAAAATGAAATGCGTAATTTCGTCATTATATTCTTCACACCTTCGAAAGCCGTCTACCGCGTGTACCTACCAGGCCCAGGAGCCGAGTTAGAAGGTTCAAGCAAGATCAAACACCTCCCCCAGCAGGGCGTTGAAATCCAGAAGGCTCAACGGGGCGCGAGTTGATAAAAAGATAAGGAAACAAACGTGGTACAAAAAAATGAGCGAGACAATTTTTAGAAACCTAAGGTTATTGTCGTCAGACAAGTTCATAAGGCTTAACTATTAGTGGCAGGGAGGGTTGTTTTCATCCACCCCTCAGGTTTTTCGGGAATATCTCCAAAACCGCTGAAGCTACGATGCTGAAATTTTCTGACTTTTCCTAAAACTAAATTGGGCACATTCCCTGAAAATTTCAAGTTCATAACTTTATCAGGGGCGGCTCCAGAGCACTGGGAATTGGGGGGTCCTGTTCGTGAAGCGAGTCATTTGGGCGAAGATCACGATGCTGATGTATTATAACTGTATGCACCAGTTTTACGATCAGTGAATGAAAGGTATCATGTGATAACATATACAAAGTTATTGTGCATCCTCTTTTGACACGTTTTTGCTATAATAGGCGGATCCAGACGTCCAAAAAGGGGGGTTATGTTTTACCTCCCAACATAGGTGCCCTGACACCGCCTATGCATGACCAATACAGTTGTAGTCGTTCTCTCATAAGAAAATTGTAACATAACAAGACCATTGCCACCCTTTTTAGAAACAGTACCAACAAAAACCTTATTTACTATACTTTTTGTGTACCCCCAATCTCAATGATCTGTATCCGCCTATGATTTTTGAAAATGCGTATTTTTAGGATCCGTGTGAATTCCTGGTTCATTCTCTATCGATCGGCAAAAGTTGCGTTAAGATTGGTTCAGAAACCTGGCCGTGATAAACAGTCTAAAATGTATCTGCAATTTGCCCGTTTTTACCCCCCTCTACCCCCCTATTGACATTTTTAATTTTTATTTTTTAGAAATGTAGATCACGTTGAGCAAAATCGAATGCCGGTTGAATTTTGAAAATCGGTCCATTAGATCTCGAGATATCAGGGGGGTCGTAAACAGCCCCCCCCCCCCTGCCACTAATAGGGGCAGCCAGGAGCCTGTCACTAATAGGGTTAAGGTAAAAGAACAAAGGCAAATTCCGAGGGCTAATCGCTACGATAATTCCGATGTGTGTGGTTCGTGAATACCTATGCTATATGCGTTCAATTTCTTCTGGCTACTCGGTCCCTTTCGGTAGCCCTCTGAGGTGCCAAACCCTTTTTTTTCCCACCTGGTTATAGCGGTGTTCCTGCCGACGGCGCGTCCGTCCCACGACTGGCTGCTGCGCAGTCGCCGCCGCCGCCCGCGGCGCTAGCGTGAGTCACGAGTCAAACAGCTGGGGAAAACCCGCAGAACACCGCCGCGCCGGAGGCCCCGCCCCCACTCCTGTGAGCTCTAATAGATCACATCTGACTTGACCCATGCCAAAATACAGAGCGGCTACGAGAGTGACACAGTCTGAAAATTCGAGACCGTTTGTGATTTCGGAAACCAAGTCGCAGCCCTGCGCGAAGTCCAAGCATGGCCATGGGTTCGCGCCGTCACCCACCAGGCTGATGCAATGATCAGCTGTTTGTCGTTGCAACAGTGAGACGCCGGCGCACGTTTTAGATAAGTGTGAAATACAAACTCAATAAAAGTTTGATGATACGGCAAATTTCACAGCTTTTATAATGAATTGACAAATAACTTTAACAAATCAAAGTTGAGAGCCCCAAATACGTAACACAATTAAGGGCATTTTAGGCCATCACAGTTTGTCAACAATTGTTGTTGGGGGGACTGGGGAGGGTGGTTGCTGGCTCAAAACCTGTCCCCCCCAAAAAAAACGAAACCGATCATCCGCGAAAAGAACTATTGAGCTCGCTCGAACCGAGGTGACGAATCGATTTATAGGTATGCAGGATGACTAACGATGCCACGGGGAGCATTTCGCCCCTCCTAAGATCTCGGAAATTTACCGGCCGATTTTCAAAATTCAAACGGTGTTCGATAGCCCCACAGGGAAAATACCTTGTGACCAAATTTCATTGACCGAAGTCAAACCGATGACGTCACAGGTCAGGTCAAAAGTCGGATTTTCACCGTTCACAGGCATTTCAAGAAATGTGTTGTGAAATCGAGTAAATTGGTAAGTTATTGAAAACCATCGATGGTACATTGTTCGTCAAACACATACTTTGCTATCTGAGGTCACTGATACCAAGTCAGGTCACAGAGGTCAGGTCACTGGGGTTACAATATGAAAGTATCGTGTGATACATGTTTTATGGTCCATTTTACATGACAAATGCGAATATGTGGGTCAGGCCTTTGGGGCCTTTGGGGCCAGCTTAGGTCACGTTTTGGTGAAGGTCAGGTCAAGGTCAGGTCAAATTAGGTCAAATTTTAGTGTCGATATTTTTGCATAACTCGGTATCAATTCGATGCAGCTCGTCACGGGGAGTCTAATGGTGGTGTCCGTTTTGCCCTACGTGGTCTAGAATTGCCAAAAATTGAGTTTGAAAATTTTACGGCATCATTTTTGAACTTTTTTTCGCTATAACTTGGCCAAAAAACGAGATATCGATCTGAAATTGGGTACATACGTAGATAGTAGACGTTATGTACTATCACATATATTCCCTTTTTTTGAAAATCAGAACCTTTTTGGATTCTTTGGCTGATATATAAAAAAAGTTTTTTTATATCTGGGGGGTCAAAACTGTAAAATTTTAAAGTTCCGAGATATCAGTTTTGTAGCCCAGTCAATTCTACATCTTGTATGTCTAATCATTTTTCTCTATCTTCAAAGCTGTAGGCCTCACAGCTCTTCTCGCGAAGGTCTTTTTTCGGTCGAAAATGGCAGAACATGACTCTGGAAAAACTTGTGTTCACAATGTGTAAAATTGATGCCCGGAGGAGTTTGGAAAGTTTGGTGGCGATATCCCGCGACCGCCTGGGGGGGTCGGATCCGACCCCCCCTCCGTTTTTCTTGAATAACTCATGAACCGCTTACGCTATCTACTTGAAACTTGGCATACCTTCTTCTCCATCAATTTGACGTCTCCTGTGCAATTTTTAAGAAAAAATTTCCAAAACTTTTTGAGATATATCGATTTTCGTGATGTAAATACATGGCGTTTACAGTCAAAAAATGGTAAATGTTTAAAAAATCGCCAAAAATCGAGGTTTTAAGCAAATTGCAAGTTAAGGACATGAATAGACGCAACTTAACGAGTTCTTTAAAATTGCTATCTCGGATTTTCCATAAAATGCGTTTTTTTTACCCCTAAAAATTCAAAAAACTATATTTTTTGGTAAACAGCTAATAAAATCGTAAAATTTTGAAATTTCCAAGAAAAACTGGAATATATGTTATAGAGCTCTATTAGAACACTAGATGTCTAAAATTTCAACTCTCTATCTTGATTTTTGACCCCCAAATTGTAAAAAATAGCTCCAACATGCATAGGGCATAATGACGTCATAAGCATTTTCGTGAATTAGAGGCACTTCTGAACATCGCATGTGAAAACAAATGGCACCACTAGATTCCTGGGACAAAGCTCGTCTAGGAAAGTGCATTTTTATGTAAAAAATAAAAAGTTGAAAAATTGACCTTTTTCTGGGCCCTCGTTTAGTTATGTATGGTATAAACGATTTTTTATGCTTTTAATGCACACTTATCACCAGCACAGTGATTTGGGGTCACATATAACCATTACCATCGGATTCGGCGTGAAAAATAAGCCATAAAACATGTGTCGCACGCCCATGTAGCAGAAAGTGAAAACCGTGACCTTTCGTGACCTGACCTGACATCGACCCGTACTTAGTATGACCCCTATACGCACATGGTACCTTCACTAGGCTTTGAGGTCATTTTTGGTGAGTTTCGAGCAGCAGCTATCGATTCCGCTGTCCGTAAGCCTAATCATGCAAAACCCCTGAATTTGACCTTTGACCTGACCTTGACCCGAAAGTTGACCTCAATCTTAAAATCTTAAGAGTGCTTTGGGAAGGTCTCGTAGAGACCTTTCGAACGCTGCCTCGCGGGGCTCGATACGACCATTGGTTCTCGAGATGACAGGGGGGGGGTCGGATCCGACCCCCCCCCCCAGACTGTCGTGGGTACGGAAATAGCCCAGGCGGTGCCGGGATATCTTTCTAGTTGAGGTTTATTTGCCATTGGGTCTACAGTGCAGGGATATTTCTATCTCGCACTCCTCTGAGATGCAAAGATAAGGTCTCGAGGGTTCATAGCTAAAAATCAAGAGTTCAAGTGATGATGGGTGAATAATCGAACCATTTTTAATGTTGTTTGCGTATGAAACTTATGAAATATTAAAACAAAGTACTCTAAATCTATTTTTCCATAGATGAGAACATTTAAATATAATGTTTAATTAATTAAGAATAAACCTCAACGTAGAAAGATATACGAGACATCTCGTAGGATTCCTCATGGCTCACTCGTGGAAGATCGGATATCTTTTTCTCGCGTGTAATAGAAAAACCTCGCTCCTTCGTCGCTCGGTTTTTCAGTAACCCGCTTGGAAAAGATATCCTTATCTTCCAATCGGAGCCATGAAGAATCCTCTATGTATATCTCCAGCCGTTCAGGAGATATCGACGGAAAAGGACAGGGGGCCGTTTCGCCCCCCCCCTACGGGGCGCGGGATAATAAGGAAAGGGTTGGTGAGTGGGCTGAAAACGGCCCTCACCCTCCACCCCCCCCCCCCCCTCCTTCTTCTGGAAACATAAGTAACCGAAAGATCTGGCGATGGTTTATCCACCTCGTCTGCCGCCGCGCTGCGAGGCATCGATTCGTTCGTTCGGTATGTGGATTCCTGAGCGGTCCTTCCCGGAGGCAAGGTGAAAGGTCATGGCCTGTATCAGAAATGTACCTATACGTTCCTGAATATGTTTTGCAGTTCTTCCAAGGCCTTGGACACCGTTTTATTATATCGGATAAGCATTGTACTTTCTTGTCAATCAATACATTTAAAGAAAACTTTATCATAATCTCATATTGCGGCAATTGTAGTTCTGTTTACGGTTGTCTCTTTATGATACTTATGTAACCTCAATTCTTACTTTTACTGTATGCCTGGCCTATTCAAATACATTAGCCAGAGGGGTGTGGTAATAACTGGTGTAAGCAAATTGACCACGGTCAAAAATGCATTACCAGAATGCACTAAAGCTATGCTAAAGCCAACATTTTGGGATGGTCTCGTTCCTAAGTCGGCTAAGAGCTTCGATCCAGAAAATAAATTTATCGTTGGCATACAGTAAAATACATACCAAACTCGGCCGGTGATAAATTTTCAAGACCTCAGTCCTTACTGATTTTTGAACTCGGCCTTCGGCCTCGTTCAAAAATCCAGTAAGGACCTCGGTCTTGAAAATTTATTTACACCGGCCTCGTTCAGTATTATATAATACCACCACCTCAACTGCGCTGGAGCTCTGGCGTTCTTCCCCTCCCCGCTATGGACCGGCCATCGGGCTAGGTGTGTTAGTACTGAGCGCAAACGTGTAGAAGTCACGTGACTTTCATTCGCGTAGCGGGAACGGAAGCTATAGGCGATACCAAGGACGGGCTCTGGGGAGGCAACGGGCACAGAAAAATAGCACGATTGTAGTTTTGGAAGAATATCTGTTGCGGTAAGAGGAATTATACAAAACATACGTCCTAGGAGCAAACATGACTTATTCCTCCATACTTTGCGCTACATTTCCTTTCTCCACTGACCAGAACTTAGCAAATAATAGCACAACTCTAAATTGGTTATATATGTGTACAGTAGCAACTGCGGGTCCCTGTACCTACAGATTCGACGGGTCGATTTAAATCGTGTTTGAGTTCACATCACGTACAATATAATGGTGGCCTAAAACGCACCGATTAGCCGTGACGCTAGTTGGTCCGCAACACTCGGTCACAATAGTCTACCGCTCAGTCACTGAATTGACAGCTTCCGAAAAGGATTACAGCGTAACACACACGCAATGCCCGTCGTGCGCTGACGCCTGACAGTGCCTGACGGTTCCGACTGCCAGGAAGGCAGCGCTACCGCCCAGTGAATCAAAAGAGAGCTATCCAATGGAGCTTGCCGCGCAATGCACCTCTGTGCATTTCGCGGCTACTCTAGCGTGGGACGTTCGGCCGCTCGTCCCATGGAACCCACGGGTCGGCGTCCGTCTGGTCCAACCACTGCACGAGCTCGTCGAGGTAGCTGAGCGTACCACCAACAATGCGTACCATGTTCAAGTGCGACTTGTATGACTTCGACTTTTCACAAAGCTCTTCGCTGCGGATAATGTAGGCTTCTTTTAGATACCCTCTTGCCTTCTTGATGGCTTGCTCGGCCTTCCTCTTAAGGAACGGCACCATGTCGTCCAGAGTTTTGACAACGGGCCCAGCCTGGTAATCTCCGTCAGTAAACTTGCCGAACAGAAGAGGGTAGCTGATGCTGATCGAACAGTCCTTGACAAGGGTATGTGGATTGGTCATATGAACTCTACCATTCATTCGGTTCGCGCGCAGGCTCTTCGTAGAGAAATGATAAGGCAGTCCCTTTTCCAGACTGATCCAGAAGAGATACTCCATTTCTCCTGATGTTGGTGGGAGAAGAACAGCCTCCATTGTCTCGTTGTTTTCGCTCTCTCCTACCCTTAGAGAGAGAAGCCGTTGGGACAAGCCAGCAACAGCTCTGTCCTGTCTTTCAGGGAACGCCGCAGACAATTTATGCGGTCCTTTTGCCTTTTTGTTGGGATATCGAGTCTTCTCTGCATTTCCTGCAGCATCGATCTCTGCAGATCGTTTGCAGGCGTTCCGTTTTCCAAGATCTGATTCGGCGATAAGTGCACGGCTCGTTTCCACATACATCGTTGCCGCTCGATTTATTGGGACCTCCAATGGCTCTTCTTCCTCTAGAAGAGTCTCCCAGTCCGTCATGTCAGGCAGTACTACCGAGGGCTCGTCTCCGAGTTCCATATCCATGTTTGAACCATCATCTGTTGAGAGCTTAGACTTCACGTCTTTCTGCATTTCTGTCGTCTCCTGAAGCATTTTCTGCGAACGAGCATTGCTCGTATCTCCGACTTTCATTTGTACCGCCGAACCACCTTCTGAGGATACAGCTCCTTGTTCTGCTTCATCTAGAGGAAGGTTGGCCGGGCCAAAAGTTAAGGACATTTGCTCCAATCCGGAGAGAAATGCCTGCTTCTGAGCTGCGGCTTGCTTTCGCTTCTTTTTTGTTTTGTTCTTCCTTCCTTTCGCGGCTCCTGTTTTCTGTGCTGAGGGCACTGGCTGTTGTTTTGTTTCACCGGAGTCCCGTGCATAAACGTGAGGTGGATTTTCTAGTCCCCTGGACTCAGGTGTTTCCTGCGGGCCAGACTGACGGACAGATGTTTTGTCCGGCGGCTGCGGGGCTGGTTTATTGGAGGCGTCCGATCCCACAGGTGACGCGTCCTCATGCGTCATTTTCCCGGCGTCTCTTGGTCTTGGTTGCTTGCCACCAGTCATCCTCCCAACGATGGTGACGCTGGTCTACTAGTTACTACGATGGCGGTAGATAACTCTCACTTTAAAACTGAAATGGAGGCAAAAACATTTATCAATACCGAGCTAAAAACAATGAAATGCTTGTAAAGCAGCTTGCAATATGCTAAAAATGAGGAAAAGTATGCAGTATGCTGTTGGTATCTAATTATGTTTTATGCGACGTTCGTTTATGCTGCGCTTTTTATCACCTTCAATTAGATAGGTATGAAGCAACCCAATTTTATAATCTCCGAAAACTGAGCCACTTCTACACAGTAGCGGTTGAAGACTCGATAGAAAATGATAATTTAGCCCTATTCATGGTGTACGATTGGCTTTATGGAGGAGGGATAATTGGTCTGGGGGACGGATCTGGCCCGAATTTTACAATAGGTATAGCCATCTCGACAACTAGGTATGTGGCTGATTTTGATTTAACAAACTTAATGCCACTACTCTGAACGTCACCTGCATGTGTATGTATATTGACTATTCAATTTTAAAGTTTAAAATGATAATTTGGTGTTCATATGACTACAAATTCCAAAAAGAAAAGAATCGGCAGTATTCACGGAAATTTTCTCAAAAGGCGAACCTTGACCTTTGATGACCTCTGTTAGCCTGACCTTTGACCTGACCCATAGACCTAGTCTACATACCGGTATGTAGAGGTCTATGCCTGACCTAAAATGCGTAATTTCGTCATTATATTCTACACACCTTCGAAAGCCGTCTACCGCGTGTACCTACCAGGCCCAGGAGCCGAGTTAGAAGGTACAAGCAAGATCAAACACCTCCCCCAGCAGGGCGTTGAAATCCAGAAGGCTCAACTTTCAAGAAGGCGAGTTGATAAAAAGATAAGGAAACAAACGTGGTACAAAAAAAAAATGAACGAGACAATTTTTAAAAACCTAAGGTTATTGTCGTCAGAAAATTTCATAAGGCGGCAAAGGAACAAAGGCAAATTCAGCACAATTCAGCGAAAAACCATAGGTGGGGGGGGGGGGGGGTGCATCAACCTCTTCCCCTCGTCCCCCCTCGCCGGCGAGGGCTAATCGCTACGATAATTCCGATGTCTGTGGTTCGTGAATACCTATGCTATATGCGTTCAATTTCTTCTGGCTACTCGGTCCCTTTCGGTAGCGCCCTCTGAGGTGCCGAACCCTTTTTTTCTCACCTGGTTATAGCGGTGTTCCTGCCGACGGCGCGTCCGTCCCTCGACTGGCTGCTGCGCAGTGTCCGCCCGCCGCCCGCCGCCGCTAGCGTGAGTCACGAGTCAGATAGGCAGCTGGGGAAAACCCGCAGAACACCGCCGGAGGCCCCACTCCTGGGAGCTCTAATAGATGCACAGCGACTTGACCCATGATAAAATACAGAACAGCTACGAGAGTGACACAGTCTGAAAATTCGAGACCGTTTGTGACTTCGGAAACCAAGTCGCAGCCCTGCGCGAAGTCCAAGCATAGCCATGGGTTCGCGGCTCGCGCCGTCACCCACCAGGCTGATGCAATGATCAGCTGTTTATCGTTGCAACAGTGAGACGCCGGCGCACGGTGCCCCCCCCCCCCCCCGTGACGATATCGGATCCCCCTCGCCCCTCCCCCTTCAGCAATTCACGAACACCTTATTCAAAGTCACTAGAAGTAGAAACCCTCCAGGCGCCCTTCTTATTTTTCCCGTAGACCAGCTTTATTACTTACGTCATTACGAGAGGGACCGCTCATAGGTACCGTAAACGGGGGTGACTTTGCCTTGCGGGGTGATTTGCCATGCTTCTCGAAAAATGCTTGAGGAAGATCTCCAATGATATTTTACGAAGAATGTAATAATTTGTTATGCACAAATGAAAGATAATTGATAGGCCTTTCAATAAAACCAACACTGAGAGATAAGTTATCACTAAATGCCTAACTGGGCTCTATTTTATTGGAGTCATTGAAATGGTTAAATTTGAAGAGGTCCGAACTTTGTATTATCTAACCATGTTTTAGACCAACTGCGATGCTGATACTTGGTATGGTTGATCATGACAAGACTGTTAAGTTAGCATATCCAACAAAACTTGCATTTGTCACTTCATTTAGCTATTGGCGATTTTTCCAAGTGAAATGCAGACAACATGGGGTGACTTTGCCACCATGGTACCGATGCAAAAATGAAGTACTTATCCGATGTAATTCAAAATAATTTTTTGATGTAGCATCGTTTTGATCTCAAAACTGGTTTTTAAAAAGTAAAAGTTTATATGTTGAAAATTAACCCGCGCACCGACGGGGGTCTGCGCCAACTTCGCACCGACGGGGGGGGGGGGGCGGATGACCGCCCCCCCTGAGATCTCGAGAACGAAGCAAGATAGCAACAAGCGGTAAACGGCATCGGATACGCACGGTCAAGATCTACAATTTTTACAAAGGTCATTTTCAGGTCAGGTCAAAGATGACGTCACAGGGGTCGAAAAAAGTCAAAATGGCGGCGCTAGATATGGAGAGAGTTTTTCTCGAATAACTTTCGAATTAGTCAAGATAGGAACAAACTAAGGGCATCATCGTGATCCTCTTGTCAATCCGCATCGAATGATATATATGTTGACCTCGAAAGGTCAAGGTCAAAGGTTGACCTCAGGTCACGTGACCTCGAGGTCATCATGTATATCATTCGATGCGTCTTGACGAGCTGAACACAATGAGACCATCCACGCGTCTGTATCTTGTTCCTGTACGGAGTTATTGGCCAAAAACCTTTGGTGACCTTTGATGACGTCACATGACCTCACAGCTACCCAACAGCAAAACAGAACCACTTGAGTTTATATGAATACGTGACTATTTTTGTTTTAACCCGGCGCCCGCTGGGCCTCCGCGCCACCCGCCGGCCGCTGGCGGGGGAGGGGGGGGGGGCATATAATAGTTGCTCCCTTTACTTCTGCGACGATATCGACGCAACGCATAAAGATAGAGAAACGAAACTTTGCACACATCTTTCTGAATACCTAACCGAGTTGGTGTCCAAATTTGGTGTTGATTTCATTTGAAATGACGTCACAGTAACGTCTTAAGTCAAATTATAGTTTTGCGACTCTCAGTTTACTCACGATATATACGGCATATGAGACCATTAGCGGCGGAACACCTTCATTTTTAAGGGGGGGGGGGGGCACTGACGACTTTTGGTCCCATTCTTTCCATGCAACGCCCATAGGGCTAATGTTAAAATGTCAAAATCAAGGGGGCCGGCACGGTTCCCCGGTGGCCGGTGCCCTCCCCGTTACGCCGCCTATGTATGAGACCGAATAAAAAGGACCAATTATATATTGGTCAAGAACCAGTTGAAAGTGTACTTAGATGTTTTAGGATGACAGCAGATGCTGTTTAGTTCATTTACAGTTGAGTTTCATGCTCAGCGACATCAGAAGCGCCCTATGTCGGAAAATGACAAAAACTTATGACGTCACTGTGACGTCATCTTTATTGATACAACCACCAAACTTTCCTCAATGATTGCCAAGGTATTCATGTAAAGTTATGCCAAGTTTCACGTTCGTAGCTAATCAGGTTTCGGAGATTTTCCACGAAACGCAGGAGGGGGTAACTTTATGCCCTCCTCCCCGGCGGCGCCTGTTTAACCTGCGCCCCGTTGGGGGGGGGGGGGGCAGAATCTGCCCCCCCTCCCGTTTTTCGCCAATAACTTCTAAACGCGTTACGCCAGCGGCGTCAAATTTTCGATACCTTATTATACATCAATTTGACACGTTTCCTGAAAATTTGGGCAAAATCCGTTGGTAAATTTTTGAGAAATTGACGTTTTAGTGACGTCATGTTCGCCATTTTCGCCTTTTTCGCCAATTTCCAACGCCGCTAACATCTTCATTTTTGAAGGAATCAAGACGTAACAAAAAGGTTATACGTGATTCTACTTTGTCTATCAAATGGCTATCTCGGTTTTTTGAAAATGTTGGATTTTGCCCCATTTTTTCTAAAAAAACTGACTTTTTTTGGGAAAATAATTATAAAATCATAAATTATGAGTGTATCGAAGAAATCGGAATATATGTTAGAGAAGTGGTCTATGTGCACCTACATACCAATTTTAAAAAGAATCGGCTAAAAAATGTGGGAGTTATTCAAAATTTTATGACGTCACGACTCACGACAAACAAAAATTTTGAAAATGATTTTTTGGACGTTCTAGACCTCGTACGGAAACAAAAATAGCACCAATCGATTCGCCGCGAAAAACTGCATCAGATAGACACCTTTTTAGGCCTTAATAACCAACTTCACAATTTGACCTCACTTGACCTGACCTTGACCTGACCTCGACCTGAAATTCATCCAGAGGTGGTCCATATCACTTATTGAGTGTGCCTATTGAATTCTCTGAGTAAAATGACTCATAAAACATGTGTCGCACATGCCCTTTTCTATATTTTGTTTTTGGTGACCTGACCTGATTTGACCTGACCTTGACCTTGACCTTTGAATGACATTGTATGCAACGAATATTGTCTTGGTAGTCTAAGAACACGTTTTGGGCAATCAGTCTCAGTCCATTCTTCGGCCACTACGGTGCAAGGCCGATACTGTAGAAACTTGCATAAGGCCGATACTGTAGAAACTTGCATTTTGTACCCTTGACCTGACCTTTACCTGACCTCTGACCTACTTAAGCAAAAAAAAATTGGGCTCTGAAGATCCGCCTTGTTGAGAGCTTTCGATTGCCGTTTTCCCCGTCTTTCTACGACCATCGGTTCGGAAGTTAGACAGGGGGGGGGGGCAGAATTTGTCCCCCCCAGCAGGGCGCGTATGGCTGAATAGCCCAGCGGGGCGCGGGTTAACCCTCGCGGGCCCGGGGGCATTTTCCGCCCCCGGCAAATAGTTGCGATTGCTCCCGAACGCTTAGGGATAGGAAAGCGAAACTTTCAGTACATTTTCTCCCATCAATTTGACATCTTCTGAAGTAAAATTTTTGGATCTAGCCCCATTGATGACGTCACAGGCTCGATTTTGCTAGACCCCTGCACGGCAAACTTCGGCGTCACAGACGCCGACTTCAAATAGCTGCTAAGAATAGAGTTTTAGAGATAAGGACAAATGACGAGCACGGTTGTGTAGCTTTTGACCTAAAAAAAAATAATTTTGGTTCTCTGAGGTCAAAGGTCAGGTCAACGACCCGGAGCTGTGATTTTAGTTTTTCGCAAATAACTTCAACAAAAATGGCCCCAGAGCTACGGCAGTGGTACCATCGCATTTGCCTTGTCAAGTCGCGTCGAATGATATATATATATATATATATATATATATATATATATATATATATATATATATCCTTCGCCCTGGTGGGGGGGGGGGCCATTTTGGCCCCCCCCTGTGGTTTTTCAGCGATAACTCAGAAACCACTTGAGTTAGCGCCCTGAAACTTTGTATAGCTGTTTATTCAACATTTTTACATCATGTCCTTTTTTGGGGGGTTCGGGTCAGGTCAGGTCAGGTCACAAGGTCACCAAAACTGACACCACCTCTAAAAAAGTTCAAAGCTCTCTCAAAGGCACAGCTTTTATCCGATCGATGTAAAATTTACAGTACTTGAAGATGTCACCCAGCTCTACAAAATGGCTATCTCGGATTTTTTATAAATGTGACCTAAGGTCAGGTCAGGTCATCGCTGCTCCCCATTATAAGTCAATGGGAGAATCGAAAAGTAGTTGTTTTTCAGCTAAATCGGGCGTGATTGTTCCTATATTTCGTTATTGAAGTGTCTTGGGTCAGCAAATCACAGCCCATGTGAAACCATTTGCTTGTGACCTCGCTGAGGTCACGCTAGGTCATCTCCCTGGTCACCAGAGGTCACCAGCGGTTTTTCTGCACTTACTTGTTATTGAATAGAGATAGAGACTCCGTTCGACGTTTATCGTGTTTGTCTCGTCAATGCGGATCGAATGATATGCAGCATGACCTATTTCGGTAAGGTCATGACCTTGACCTGAGGTCAAATTTTCAAAATGACCTTTCGAGGTCAAACTATATATCATTCGACGCGTCTCGACGAGCCAAGCACGATGGTGCATGAATCGTTTCTCTATTTTCTCGTGAATGCATGCTATAGTTAAAAACATTTTCAACGAAATTTGCCAAGTTGACCTTGCATGACCTCTGTGGGCCAAACCGTTGAGCTGAGGTCAAATCTGACGAACCTTGGCGAAAGAGCTTGAAAAGAGCTATCGATTGCTTTTTTCCGCGGCTCTCTAGCTCTTCTAGTTTCCGAGCTACAGCGGAATATGTCCGGCAACACCGAAAACACTGAAATTTGACCTATGATGACCTCTAGCGACCTCAATATTGACCTTAGCGAAAAAATGACTGAAATACTTTCGAACGTACTTGTTATGGGCTTTCGTTTGCTTTTTTCCGCGTCTTCCTAGCCCTCTTCGCTTTCGAGTTAGACGGGGGGGGTCATTTTGGCCCCCCCCCACCAGGGCG